CACTTTATTTACTGCTGCTAGTTTCTGGATTTAGACCATCCCCTGAACAGAAAGAACACATCACATCACCCTCGAATGGAAACAGTCAAGAGAACACCCAAGAGTGGATTGTGAAAAAGCAAAACAATTCCGTTTCCTGGCCCCCAATATGAATTGGCCCAGCCCCGTGCAGGAGTCCATCACTGGGAGAGCTGAGAAAAAGCAACAAGACTAATCAATACTGTCTCTCCATAGGCAATTCCTCACTTTCCTCCTCCTTGTTAAAAAAAATCCACATCTAAGATCAGCCAGTGGCATGGGATTTCACTCCTAACAGGGATTTAGTGGGGTACTTGGCATAAGAATGTTGAGAGCTGAAGTCTCAATCCAAACCGTTGAGCACACAGTCTAGTTGACATAACAGTACCGAGAGACCGAATTGTTAACAGGAGGAGGTCGTTCGGCCCCTTAAGCTGAGACTACAGTTTTTTATTCACTCATGGGACATGGCTGGGCCAGCCTTTATTACCTGTCCCAAGTTGCCCCTTGAGAAGGTGGGGGTGAGCTGTCTCCTTGAGGCCATGTGCTGTGCATTGACACAAAATGCCATTAATGAGGGAAATCCAGGATCTTGACCCAATGACATTGAAGGAGTGGTGATATAGTTCAGTTCAAGGTGAGAGGAGGAAGATTTAAAAGGGACCTGAGGGGCAACGTTTTCACACAGAGGGTAGTACACATGCAGAATGAACTGCCAAAGGAAGTGGTAGGTGCAGGTTCAGTTACAACATTTGAAATAAATTTGGACAGGTACATGAATAGGAAAAGTTTATGGGGATATGGTCCAAATGCAGGCAAATAGGACTAGTTTAGTTTGGGAAATCTGGTTGGCATGGATTGAAAGGACTATTTCCATGCCGTATGACTCTATGACTCTAAGTGTAAGTGGAACTTGCAAGTGATGGTGTTTCTCTACATCTACTGCCCTTGTCCTTCATAGTCCCTCATATTTCATAATTAAACATTGTCTTGGTAACAGTGAACATACCTAGAATATAGTTCTTCACTCGATCAGGTGCCAAGCCGTTCTGTGATATTCCCATTCTAGCCCATACAACATTATCAGATTGGGTATTGTTACTCCTTTCAGAAACATCACCTTCTGCAACATCTCCACACCCACAGCAACATGACTGACTCCTAATCACCCCCTAAAATGGCCGAGTGAGACACTCAGTTCAAGGGTAATTAGGGATGGGCAACAAAGGCCAGTCTTGCCAGCAACAACCACACCCCACAAAAGAGCGATAAAAACCATCCTCACAGTTGAACCTTTGTGACAAAAGGTAACATTGCCGTGAACCTGTGCTTCACTCTTGATGGGACTTCTGCTCCTACATCTTATGGCAACACCCTGACCCCCCCAAAGTCCAATCCACCTGTTTCTACAGATAGATGAGAGCTACATGCCTATAAACAATTCAACAAAAACACAAAGCACATATCCACACACATGCACACGCATGCGCACACACAAATTTAAAATCAGGCCAGTCGGTTGTGAATTGCAAATTCCCATGGATTGGATTTGTACTAAAGGTTACAAATTGTACAGGCGTAGAAGGAGGAAAAACAACTCCAGTGGCCAACACTGTGCTGGAATACTCAAGATATTCCATTGTTGACTAAAGAGACTTGGAGAGACTCTGCTGAGACTCTCCGTAATTCTCTGTGTTTGTTTCCGATTTCCAGCATCCGCAGTACTTTGCTTTGTGATGGGGTGTGATCTCATTGAAACACACAAGACCCAGACAGTGTTTGACAGGGTGGATGCTGACAGGCCGGTTTCCCCTTGTCGGGGGTGTAGACTGGCAGATACAGTTTCACCACAAGGGTCTGAGGAGGAATTCCTTCACTCAGTGCCATCGGCCTGTAGAACCGTCTTCTACAGATCGCACTGGATGCTGGATGGTCACTGAATTTAGTCAAGACTGAGTTTGACGGATTTTTGACTGGCCAGGGAGTCAAGGAATTTGAGGAACAGGCAAGAAAGTGGTGTTATGATCATGATCAGATCAGCAATGAAGTTAGTGAATGGAGGATGAGGCTCAACAGTATGCCCCTATTCCTTATGTTCTTACGGACCACTAATGCCTTCCCCTTTTCAGCAAATTAATAAGTAGGAACACGAGCCCATCAAATCTGAATTGGCATTCCATAAGACCATGGCTGGTCTTCTACATCAGCTCTATTTTCCTGTGCTTCACCTTTAGCCATTTGTGTTCCACAATCTCTTAACCCAAGTTTTGAATATACGCAGCATATCAAATATACATACCTCTCCCCATCTCTGTCTCAAATAACTGACTCTTTCTCTCAAGACGTGCATCCCTAGTTCTAGACTTTCCAATCAGAGATAGCAGCCTCTCGCTGAGTACCCTGTCCAGCTCTTTAAGAATTGTCTTGTTTTACTTTTTAATAAAGAGATCACCTTCTCATTCTTCTAAACTCCAGGGAGCACAAAATGGTAGAATGGAACTATCCAGCACAGGAAGAGATCGTTTGGCCCATCAGTTCAGTGTTGACTCTTTCAAACAGTAATCCACTTCCTTGCTCTTTATCCAGATCTTATTTACTACACCACAGGAAGTAGTTGATGCCAAAACATTGTATGTATTCAAGAGGTGACTAGATAATGCACTCGGGGCAAATAGGATCAAAGGTTATGGGGAGAAAGCAGTAGGGTAGGAATCTGCCAACATTACCCTGGTTCGGCTCCAGAGCCACAGCAACAGTATCCTGAAAATTCAGTGGAAGGGCAATTAAGGATATGCAACAAATTCTGACCTTGCCAGCGATGCCCACATCTTAAAAAAAATTCTTTTGTGGGCATTGCTAACAAGACTAAAACTTTCCCTAATTGCACTTGAACCTAATGGTTTATATGACCATTTCGGGGGGAAATTAAGGGTCAGCCACATTACTGTCGGTCTGGAGTCACATGTAGCCTAAACTGGGTAAGGACAACAGATTTCTTTTGCTAAAGGGAATTTGTGAGCAAGATAGGTTTTTGCAAGCATCAATAATAGTTGTACAGCCACCATTGCTGATTCTAGCTTTCAATCACAGATTTATGAAGGTAATTTAAATCCCATTGGCGCATTAGCCTAGACATCTGGATTACTAACCACTGTGTCACCATCTTAATACCTCTTCTGGCTGTAAAAACGCCATTTAGCATAAACCTGTCATCTATCCCGCAGTCACTTTTGCATGTTATTTTATTCCATGGGGTTTATATTTTGCTAACCAGACTAATGTGGTACCTTAATGAAACTTTTTTTACCATTCAACACACATTACACAGACCTAGAGGGCTTGTGGTGAAGTGGTAGTGTCTTCACCTCTAGATCAGAAGATCTGGGTTCAAAACCCACCTGCGGTAGAGGTGTGTCCATAAGACATAGAAGCACAAAGAGGCCATTCAGCCCATTGAGTCTGCTACACCTGTCAACGAGACCATGGCTGATCTGATAATCCTCAACTCCACTTTCCTGCCTTTTCCCCATAACCCTTGATTCCCTTACTTAATAAAAAAATCTATCTCAGCCTTGAATATACTTAATAACCCAGCCTTGACAGTCCTCTGTGGTAAAGAATTCCACAGATTCACTACCTGAGAGAAGAAATTCCTCCTCATCTCTGTCTTAAATATGTGACCCTTTATTCTGAGATTATACCCTCTTTTCCTAGACTCTCCCACAAGGGGGAATAACCTTTCTGTACCTACTCTGTCAAGTCCCTGAAGAATCTTACATATTTCAATAAGGTCACCTCTCATTCTTCAATATTCTAACGAGTTCAGGCCAATCTCTCCTCATAATGGGAGGCAATGGCCTAGTGATATTATTGTTAATGCAGAGACCCAGATAATGTTCTGGGGACCTGGGTTTGAATCCTGCCACGGGAATTTGAATAAACTACCTGGAATTAAGAATTTAATGATGACCATGAATCCATTGCTGATGTCAGAAAAAACCCACCTGGTTCACTAAGATCCTTTAGGGAGGGAAACTGCCATCCTTATCTGGTCTGGCCTACATGTGACTCCAGACCCACAGCAATGTGGTTGACTCTGTTGCCCTCTGGGCAGTTAGGGATGGGCAATAAATGCTGCCTAGCCAGCGACGCCCTCATCCTATTAATGAATTTAAAAAAAAGACAGTCCCTCCATACCTCCTATCAACCTTCTGTGGACTACCTCCGATGCCAATACATCATTCCTTATATACTGTCCAGTTGCATAACGGCCTGGTACGGCAACTGCTCTGCCCAGGACCGTAAGAAACTACAGAAGGTGGTGTGCACAGCCCAGACCATCACGGAAGCCAACTTTCCATCCATGGACTCTATTTACACGGCTCACTGCTGCAGAAAGGCTGCCAACATCATCAAAGACCCATCGCACCCCGGTAATGTGCCCCTACAACCTCTTCCATCAGGCAGAAGATACAGAAGCCTGAACACATGCACCAGCAGGTTCAGGAACCACTTCTTCCTGGCTGTTATTAGACTGGTGAATGGACTCCAGCCTCAAATAATGCTGATCTTGCTAATGTTGATCTCACCTAGTGCCTGTCCTGCACAATGTAACCTGTATGCTCCGTCTAAGTCTTTTTGATCTGTACATCCTTTGCTTACTGTGATCTGCCTGTACTGCTCATAAACAAAGCTTTTCACTGTATTTCGGTATACATGACAATAAATCAATCAATTAGTCAGTATGCCAGTATAACACACTCAAACAGGTTGGTCAAATATTATAGATTTACCCAACACAAACTGTTCTGCTTTGAAGGAGACCACTCAAGATAGTCAAAAATAATTAGTCCTTAACACTCCTCATTGCCCCAGGCTCAGTAGTTTCCACTAATTAGCCCATTGGTTTTAGTCAAGTCAGCAACTCATCCTTGCCAGATTCCTGAGCTACAGCCTCTGGTACAATACAGAAAATGACTTACAGTTGGGCGTTTCCAGCGAACATTGGACAGCAGTGCTGTCGTACAGAACAGGGATTCATCGTCGGCGACGAACAAGGGGTCTTCGAACAGCTGGTTGCGTCGTTGGCACTCCCTCTTCAGGGCATAGAAATCCTGGTTTCCGTAAGGCTTCACTGAGTCAAACATCCTTCAAACCTGCAACAAGCAAAGGCACAAGGTAAAGCATGCAGTGCAAGCCTAGCCCTTTCTCAAATCATCGTCTGAACCATAGAACCCGTACAGTGTGGGAGCAGGCCATTTGGACCATCGAGTCCACACCAACCCTGCGAACTGCATCCCATCCAGACCAGCCCCCAAATCCAAACCCTGTATTTCCTGTGGGCCTATCCACTTAGCCTGCACATTCCTGGACACTGTGGGTAATTTCCCATGGCCAATCCACCTAACCTGTACATCTTTGGGAGGAAACCGGAGCACATGGAGGAAACCCACGCAGACACGGGGAGGATGTGCAAACTCCACACAGACAGTCGCCCGAAGGTGGAATCAAACCCAGGTCCCTGGCGCTGTGAGGCAGCAGTGCTAACCACTGAGCCACTGTGCCACTGTGCCACTCCCTAAGGTCATTAAACAGAATGAGTGTAATTAAATGCCCCCATGGGAAGGAGATGCTTAACCACTTCAAGACATGCAATCAATAAGCGATGGTGACTTTAAACCCACATGCTCATATTCTAACTTGAACCGAGTCTCCTTCATCCATGATCTCTGCCCTCACTGGGTAGAAATGAAGGTTGCAAGAGGGATACAAACATTTTACAGAGAGGTATTGATAGGTTAGATAAGCTGACGAAATGTTGGCATGTAGAGTATAATGTGGGAACGTGTGAAGGTGTTCATTTTGAAGGGAAGAACAAAAGGACAGAACATTATTTAACTGGAGAAAAACTGCAGAAAACTACAGCAGAAAGGGACTTGTGCACAAAACACAGAAAGCTAGCACACAGGGGCAGCAGCTAATCATTGAAGGGTAATGGAATGTTGGCCCTTACTTCAATGGGTTGGAGTGTGAGACTAGGGAAGTCTTACTGTAACTGTACAAGGTGCTGGGGAGACCACATCTGGAGCACTGTCAGCAGTTTTGATTCCCTTATTTATAGGAGGGAGTTCAGAGAAGGTTCACTAGGATGATCCCTGGATTATCTTGTGAGGTTGAGACTCTATTCACTAGAATTTAGAAGAATGAGAGGTGATCTCGGTGAAACATATAGGATTTTTATTGGGCTTGACAGGATTTTTTTTATTCATTCACAGGATGAAGGCATCGCTGGCTAGGCAAACATTTATTGCCCATCCCTAGCTGCCCAGAGAGGGGTCACAGCATTTAGTCAACCACATTTCTGTAGGTCTGGAGTTACAAGCAGACCAGACCAGGTAAAGATGGCAGTTACCCTCCCTAAAGGGCGTAGTGAACCAAATGGGTTTTTCCCCAATAGAAATGGAGTCATGGTCATCATTAGACTCTTAATTCCAGATTTCTGTTGAATTCAAATTCCACCATCTGCCATGGCAGGATTCAAACTCAGGTCCCCAGGGCATTTCCTGGGTCTCTGGATTAATAGTCCAGTGATAACGCACTAGGACATCGCGGTCCCCCCCCTTAAATGTTGTGAGGATGTTTCCCCTCATGGGAGAGTCAAGGACCAGAGGGCATAGTCTCAGAATAAAGGGGTGCCAATTTAAGACTGAGATGAGGAGGAATTTTTTCTCTCAGAGGGTTGTGAATCTTTGGAACTCCTTGCCACAGAGACCTGTGGGGGCAGAGTCCTTGTGTACATTTAGGGCTGAGATAGATAGATTCTTGGTCAGTCAGGGAATCAAGAGTTATGGGGAAAGGGGCAGGAGAGTGGATGCGAGGCATGTTGGATCACCCCTGATCCTGTTGAATGGCGGAACAGGTTCAAGAGGCTGAATGGCCTACTCCTGTTCTTACGGTCTTACTTCATCGAATCCTGGTTAAAATCAACACTCAATTGTAAAATTTTCATCCTCATTTTCAAATTCCTTTCTAGCCTCACCCAGCTCCATCACTGCAACCTGGAATTCCCTCCTGAAACCTCTTCACCTCCCTCTCGTCCACCTTTACAAAAAGGCAACAGTTGGTGGCATAGGAAATTTGATCGACAGACAGGCTCGGAACGCCTAGCCGTTGCTGCTAATATCCTCCATTAATGACTTAAACGATGGAGGAGAAAGACACTTAACCATGTTAGTTGGTGACACAAAACTGAGTGAAATGTAGCAAGTGTAAATCTAAGCATGACATTGCAACATCGAATTAACAGAATAAGTGCAGGGCTAAATGTGTGGCTGATGGATTTCAAATGTAAAGCAATCCAAATTGGCTCCAAAAGGATAGAAGTGGATACATTCTCAGTAGTGAAAAACTAGAAACGGTGAAGATCCAAAGAGATAACACAGTGTGGAGCTGGAGGAACACAGCAGGCCAGGCAGCATCAGAGGAGCAGGAAAATCGACGTTTCAGGTCAGGACCCTTCTTCAGAAAAGGGCTATGGAAATTCAGAAGGGTCCCGACCTGAAATGTCAGTTTTCCTGTTCCTCTGATGCTGCCTGACCTGCTGTGTTCCTCCAGCTCTACACTGTTATCTCTGACTTCAGCATTAGCAATTCTTAGTATTTCCAAGGTCCAAAGAGACTTGTGTGCCCAGCTAGATCGAATATTAAAACATCAATCAACTGCTTTAGAAAATAATAATCAGATATGCTAAATGAGTGCTGATACTTTAATGAATTCAGGTGCAGTGTGATGATTCCTCCATGGCTTCAGCCCTCCCTATTTCTGCAACCTGCGCCAACTCCAGAAATATCACTGTTCCTCTAATTCTGGTTTCTTCAGCATCCCTGATTTTAATAGTCCCACTCAGGGTGGCCATGCAGTTGGGTGTCTGGCTGTTAAGCAGTTCCTGAGATGCTGAAGCAATCTGTGCCCAAATGCAGTGAGACCTGGACAAAATCCAGGTTTGGGCAGACAAGTGGCAAGTGACATTCACGCCATGCAAGTGCCACCTCCAAGTAGAGACAATCTGACCATCACCTGTTGACATTCAATGTCATTACTGAATTCCCCCTCACCAGGGCGGCACGGTGGCTCAGTGGTTGGCACTGCTGCTTCACAGCACTAGGGACCCGGGTTTAATTCCACCCTCGGGCAACTGTCTGTGTAGAATTTGCACATTCTCCCTGTGTCTGCATCAGTTTCCTCCCACAGTCCAAAGACGTGCAGGCCAGGTGGATAGGCCATGCTAAATTGAACGTAGTGTTTCAATTGAACATAATGTGTACATTTGGTGGGTTATAGGAAGATGAGTCTGGGTGGGATGCTCCAAGAGTCGGTGTGGACTTGTTGGGTCGAAGGGCCTGTTTCCACACTGTAGGGTTTCTAGGATGATCCAGGGGGGATATCATTGGCCAGAAACTGAACTGGACCATCCATATAAACACAGTGGCTACAACAGCAGGTCAGAGACTGAGAATCCCGCAGCGAGTAACTCATCCCCCGACTCCTGTTCACCATCTACAAGGCACAAGTCAGGAGTGCGATGGAATACTCCCTATTTGCCTGGATGGGTGCAGCTCCGACAATGTTCCACCATCTTCTCAAGGGAAACTAGAGACGGGTAATAAATACTAACCCAGCCAGCGACCCCCACATCCCACTTCTGAAGGAAAAACAAAGAAACACTCTGGAATTTCCTCCTTATGTGGCTGTACCACCTGCACGTTCCTCCTTCACAGTGTTCCACAAGACCTCCTCTTCTGGACATCTGTCTTTACATCTGTTTAGTTGGCTTAGTGTCAAATTTTAATTGTATGATGACTCTGTAAAGCACCTTGGGGATGTTACAGGCGCTATATAAATGCAAGCTGCAGTTGTTGATGATTACGGGGTAAGTGCAGGTAGGTGGAGTTCGGTTGCACGTCAGCCATGCTTTAACTGAATATTGGAACAGGATCAGGGACTAAATGACTTCATTTCCAAGCAAAATGGGTGGAGCTGTATCCCATTTGGATGGGTTTTCTCTCAAAGCACTTTCCATTTGAAGTGTGCCCAAAGAGAATTATACAATGTTCGCGATAACATTAGCGGTTAGCTGAAAAGAGATTTTATCAGACTGACTTGGCAGAATCAATGAATATATAAATCTCTCACCTCCTGAGAACAGACAGACTAATGGCCTGATTGATTTACTGATGAATGATGTTTTTTTGCCACTGCTGTGGCAGTGGGGGTAGAGGGAGAGACAGACACAGAGAAAGTGATCAAGGGATGAGTTTTTCTTATTTCGTATTCTTCATGAGTCCAGAGTCATCCAAAACACATTACAGCCAGTGAGGTACCTTCTGAATTACAGTCACTGTTATGTCACAGAGAATCACTGCAGCCAATTTTCACACAGCAAGCTCCTACAAGCAATGGAGATAAAGACCAGGAAATTACCCTTTCACATCAGAGGAAAACCCCTGTGTTGGAAATTGGAGTCCCCTTTGAAACAGTGTTGCTTAAGTATTCCATGTTTGGCATTTCCTGTGTAGCGTGAGACCTCATTTAACTCTGTTACAGCAGGAACTAATCTCCAAACAAGCATCAACAAAACCAAAACATCAACTTTCCTGCTCCTCTGATGCTTCCTGGCCTGCTGTGTTCCTCCAGCTCCACACTGTGTTGTCTCAAAAAAAGACTTAACAAGCAGCATGCTACACTGTTATGAGTAGATGCTTTTGTAAACAAGAAAGTTTTGATCTTAGAAAAAAAAATTAAATCTAATCTTCAAACGGGGATGGGAAAGTGGACAACGGTCATCTTGATGTCACGAGTAGCTGTGCTATGGTCATTGGTCAAAAGGATTCAGATAATTCATTGACATAGCATCAGCTACTAGCCCCTAGAACTAGGGACTAGCACCAAGTGGTCAGGGGCAGAGGGTAGATCTCACCAGGCTGACCTTGGAGGCAGCAGTTCTCACAGGGTGGTCCTCACTGGGCAGTCTTCAAAGTGCTGTCTTCTTCAGATGGAAGACGGAGCAGAAGAGGAGGAAGATGACCCAGGGAAGAGTGCCCTAACACTTGGCTGGAAAGCAGGCTGCTACCTCACAAGCGCAATGAGACTGACACGC